GTTCTAGAAGACTAAATTCTACTAGTTATAAGTACTACTAATAAATACTTTATTAGCTTTTAATTTATATAATATAAAGCTTTACTATATAGTAAATATAACTTTATTTTTCTTAAAGAAAGACTTTATTTTAATTAGCTTTTATTTTAGCTTATATAGTAGTATTAATTATATACTTAAATAAAAAAAGTATAATAAATTATTTAGTATAGTAAGCGCTAATTTAAAGAATATAATATACTACTATATTAATTTATAAATTAGTTATACTTAATTATTAATAGTTTTCTAGAGAGTAGCTACTTTAGCTTAAGTGCTTAGTAGTATTATATTACTAGCTAATAGTAAGTTACTTTTTATAAAGTTTAAAAAGTATTTATTTATTATAATAAAATAAAGTTTATAGTATATTAAGAACTAGCTTTATAAGTAACTATATATAAGTATTATTAGTATTAACTATAAACTAGTATTAACTATAAACTTAAGAAGAGAAAAAAAAGAAAGAAGAAGCTCTTTATTTTTTCTTTTTTTTTTATTATATATATATAGATTTAATATATATCTAAAGTATACTTAATAAAGCACTAATATAGTGCTTTATATCTACTTAAGCTTATAGCTTAAGTTTATTATATACTCTCCACCTACTTAAAGAGCGTATTTTACTTTAACTAGCTATAAAGGCTTTCTTTCTTTATAGAGAGATTTTAGTAGCTTCTAAGCTTATAACTTATTAAAATTATATATATTATATACTTATATAGTATATAAAGTATAGAATACTTAAGTATATATTATAGGCAGTACAAACTCTAAGGTACTATCTACCTTTCTACCCAGCCGAAGTAACTGTAATTAGCTGTAGAAATCTAACAAATGCACTTACTCGCTCCACATCCTATATTAGCCTTAGCGCGGATGATAGCGAGCTGCCGACAATCAGGACGCCCGCCCAGTATCTGCCGCGCGGCCGCAGACCGTTTTAAACATTATGTCTCCGCTGTTAGAACAGACCGAAAGCGGCCGCAGACAACGGCAACTCAGGGGCCATTTTGACCAAGCTCTTATAGAGATGGCGGTCAAACCGGCTCTCCCACAAAACCGTAATGGGCTTAGTGCCTCCATGCTGTCGCCCACCCGGACAGTCGGCATAATAACTTACCGTGCGCCAGTGTCAATCCAGCAGGAACGCATGTCTAGTTGATCGGGATCAAGGCCGGCGAGAACTATGTCTCCAGACGAAGAAAAGGTCTCGTGGGGGCTCGCGTGCAAATGTGTTTCAGGCCGTGTGTTTAGGAGAGCAGCCGCAGATTGTTGAAATACCTAACGTTCTCTCTCGCCTAGTCAGGATTCGAAGGATTAAAATGTAATAGACTAAAGCTATAACTTAGGACATTACTAGGACTTCTATATTATTTAAATTACTAGTAAACTTATATACCTTTTATAACTAGGTTTTTAACTAGCTAGAACTCTACTTTAGTACGTTAAACGCCTCTTCGCACACTTAAAGGGATGCTGTGGCGCGATCTAGTTGCTGTGGTGACATTTTTAAAAGGTGCTGGTGTGTTTACGTAAATCCAACGTGACCAGTGCCGTCATGCAAATTTAGCGCGATCTAATTGCTGTGGTGACATAAAGGGGGTCAGGGTGCTTACGTAAGTACACCGTGGCTGCTTCAGTGGTGCAGATTGAAAGAATCCTCAGCAGCCCAAGCCTCTTCCAGAAGTAGAGAATGAGTACATCCTGCATCGCGCAACATCTAGTATGAATCGACGGGAACAGCTATTCGAATGCAACCACGCAACTTGCTGCTTCGTGAACCCCCAAACCGAATCCACAGCGAAACGAAGTCAAGGGTTGATCAGCGCCACGAAATTAAACCTATATCTTGACTAAAATCACTTCCTCTGCTTCTGCGACGCCTCGGCACCAACGACTACGGACAAGGACGAGGAAGATGCGGCTGCAAGAGGTCTGTCTCTCACGTCAACTTCCGTCGCATTTGCGCTCTCATATTTCAATATGGCACCCTGGATACATCCGTGGTGAGGACACAATGTTCTCGCTACCCAGGCTAGATGAGGTAGGGCCACAAGACAAAACGGACGACGAAACCGACGATAGTCAAAAGGGCGCCTGCCTAGGAAAAGCGCGGTATGGAGTCCATTTCGAAACTATGCTATTGGCCTGCCAGATTATCGCAGGAAACTCGTTCGAGACTGCGTATTTAAGCTATGATCGCAAAGGCAGCAACAGAGTACAACTGCCTCCCTGTGGTATCTTAATGCATGACCACTACTTTCTCCACGTCCCCCAAGGTGAATTCATTTTCCCATCCCCCCTTTTGAAGCTGAAGTGCCGGTTCTGCCGCCATTCAATCATCCGTGAATTCGTCTGCTGACCAAAGATTCGTTTCAGAAGACGACACTGACACGACGTCGTATGCTATCACACCCAATTTCCAGGAGTGGCGATTTCCTAATGCTCTCCCGCAATCTTGGGGTTCTGTTGCGGTGACGCCCCGCGATACTAAACCCAGCTGTATCATCTCAGGCCGTATGAGGCCCGAGAAGGCACATGTCATACCTCAATCTCACGACAAGTGGTACACTGACAATGCTATGTGTGACTATTCTCAAGGCGCAAAGTCGGTCTCAAACAGTGACGACAATGTATGCCGACTTCGTGTCGACCTTCACAGGATCTTCGACGATCGTGTATTTGCTTTTGTTCCTAAACTAGATGAGGAAGGGCATCACCATACTGTCGTGCACTTCTTCTCGACTACGAACGATTCCGGCGACGCAGCTCTTAAATATCACAACCGCAAGGCACACAGCCTTGATTCCGTGGCACCGCAATTCCTATTTGCACGATTTGCTCTCACAGTGTTCGCCTGTATCAAAGACTTTATTCTAAGAGGAGAACGCCGCCAGATCGCGGTGGTGCATCGTGGCATTGACTCCAACGGCAGTCCTGCTTGGATTACTCGAGAAGTTCAGATGGATCGCGCACAGCGACACAGTCGATACGGCGGTGGAGGATCGCGGGCCTCGAGTCCTAGTAAGAGATCCAGGCCACAATCAGAATCCCAGCAAGGAGATAGTCAAGAAAGCGTGCAAGAATTTAGGTACGCTTCGGAGGATCCTGAGAATAGTGATAATAACGGAGATTATACGTCTCGAACTCGGGCTTGGGTTGAGGCTAATGTAGCGGACTACGATCTGGCTGCACCATCAAAGCGACGGCGTATCAGTGAGGTTGAGTCTCCTCCATCCTTGACAAGCTCTGCCAGTTCCCAAGTAACTGTCAATAAACAAAAAGTCGCGGATAAAGCGGCTAGTTCTAGTCCCAACGGTACTAGTATTAGCTTGAAAGGGAGCGAAAATAATCGCGGCCACTTTCTTCTGGAAGCAGTCGAGATAGTCAATAATTGCTATCCTCCAATTTTCTATTAGCGCGTAAATAGCTAGTTGCAGCACAGCTAGGCAAATAAGCTAAGACTTGCTATTATAGTTGTTTAGTGTCTTTATCTAAGGCTATTAACTAAATAAAAATATTAGAGTCGCGTTTCGGGAATCGGGTTAGGCTGGGGTTTAGACAATACTTAAGGATTCACGCTTAGCGGACCTTTTACGCCAGAGACTGCAATACACAAAGCGCCGCAAACTAGCGACAGCCCGCGCCTAGAGTTCCACCGCACCTGCACTATACACTTAGACGCGACATGAAGATGTCCAATGTATAGGCTAGTGCGGCTAGACACTCTTTGGCGCCGTAGATTTTTCGTTGAGCGAGTTCGCGGCCGACAACAAGTGCTAAACATACAGCTATAGCTGCAGTTAGAGCGTAAGAGCTCTATAAGTGTTAAGAACTAGCCTTTTAAGCAACTATATATAAGCGTTACTAGTATTAACTATAAACTTTCTGAATCACACCCTAAGACCCAATCAATAGAGTACGGAGTAGCTAGATTTGTCTTCCGCACTGCAGATGACGCCAAAAACTCCTTGCAATTGGGCGGCCGGCAGAGGTACCTATTGCGGTGCGTTACGGATTATCTATTCATCCGGACTCTCTCGTCCGACGATTGCCAACCTTTCAGCCCTTTCAGCCCTTTCAGCCCCCTTGTTTGGCTTCACAAATCTCTACGACCGAAAAGATTCCTGGGCAATGCCACCTCGTCTCAGACTACAGGATTACCTCCGAAAGCTGCCAGTACAGCATAGACTAGGACCAACCGTCCAATTTTCCAGAGAGTTACATGATGCCAAGGCACAATTTATCACGCTCGACGCGAAGGGATCTCTCAAAACACAAAAGCTTAATATTTTTATTGGCGATCCCCATGAAGCTTATATCATATTCAATAAAAAGGTCGGCTTTGCTATAAGGTCGGCTATAGCGAAGCAAATTGGCATATGTCTAACTACAGATCCTGAGAAAGTCCCCATGAATTTCCATCATAATACCCTGCATTTCTCGCATGGTTCGTCGCCCTGTTCAATTAAAGCCAATGACCAAGCTAATATTATCCTTCTCCAGCGCTATGCCCGCACCCACGGGTTGTCATCGAACAAGACCTCCCACGACAGACAGCCACCAATATAAGCCCTGCAACCCTTTGGCTCTGGGGAGCTTCGCACTCGATCACCTTAGATGGTACGACGGACCGTAAGTCTTCCGCCCGAGGCGAAATTACCGAGTTTACGATCTTGACGGATAACAGACGCGTTCGAGGAGAGTTCACGAGAGAGTCACCAAAGACTAAAGAAGACTGCCGAACTTTTGCGACATCGATGAATGACTAGCCGGGGCGATGGGCGCGATTTGTACAGATAGGAGGATTCCAGCCTTGTCCGTACATCGTTGAACTCAAACCAACGACATTAGCTGCGTTGAGATCAGAGCATCAAGCAGAAATGTGGTAACATAGGTACCGGCAGCAACTGTGTGATGCGTCGTAACTAACTTGGCAAAATCCTGAATCGTCTGACTGAGCCGCCGTTCCGTTTGAATGCCCGAGGTAAACATTTGTCGACGCACCCGGCAGAAAACAGGGCCAGGAACACGATCCCAAATGTAGACGTGGAGAGATCGCAGCTCGCCGTAGTACACACACTGAGGCACAAAATAGAGGTAAACTTGCTGGGCGAGCATGAGCTTGGCCAAGTTGAGCTCCTATGACCGAAACCGGACTACCTTGGCGACCTCCTTCCTTTCGACAGTATAGCTACTCCCTCCTTGGATCGGTGTAGCAGAGACGGGACCTCCGAGAAGTTCAGCCGCAAGTTCATGGCAGTGGTGTTTCGTACACGAGGCATTAGAAGAGAAGAAGTTTGATATTTGCACTCGCGATAAAATATCGTAGCTCTCTGGTCCGACAGCATACTTGTCCATGTTTAGTTTTGCTCACTGGCGAGAGCGGTCTGCAAGTGTGCATATGCAGCGGTGAGGCACAAACATGTAAATAAGAATATTATGGCCATGCAAGACAACCGCAATGGCGGTCTTGGGCACAAACAACCCCGGATATTCGATGACGCGTATTCCGTTGTATGCAGCGCAGCCAAATAAATGAATAAATCTTTTGAAATCCTGATTTTGCAACACAGGCGCGGTCAAAGGCGTTTTTTGAAGGCGCTGCCCTGCGCATGGCAATTTACAGCTAATGATTTAGTAAACTAAGTCGATAATGCCCTGATCCGCAACAGTCTCCAACACACCCTCTTCAGTACTCGTTGTGTAGTGTTCACAGAACCTTGCTCATTGGACCACGTGCCTCAACTGAGCCTCACATGGTGCCTACCTTGTTCAGTGAGCCACTGCACTACACTGAACCGTCTACTCTGAGCCGTCTATACTGAGCCGTCTGCACTGAGCCGTCTGCACTGAGCCGTCTGCA